AACAAAATTGAAAAATTTCTTTCACATGAAAATTTATAACAAATTTTGAACGTTTTTAGGTTACCCAACAATAAAAAGTCGATGGAAAAAAGTCTGCAACAACAATCGGTTAACATTCCTGGGTATCAGTACCCTTGATAACGCTCGGATGGAAAATAATCCAACAGACAGTTCGACATATGTTCGAGTATTAAATGGCATACGGGGTAATCCATTTTGCAGTTTCGAAAAAAATCCCCTTTTTTATTACGAAGTTTGAACCCCTTGGCATTTTATATGAATCACAAAATCATTCAACTGAACGCCTCGCGAATTTGTGCAAACTTCGATCCATTTGACGTTTTTTCCGACCACTTTTTGGCACATACTCGGTAACTACTCACGTTAACTCAACGAAAACTTGGCGAATGTTGATTTTCAAGTACTCAAGAGTGCATAGTTTATCTGCGTAAGCACGGTCTTTCGCTTAGTCCCAACAGTGTCAAATAGTACGATCACGGTGTTGAATTGACATCACTCTCACTATAAAGCCATATTCACCGGTGATATATGGCATGTGACACCATTTTATGAGACCTATATATTGTCCGAATCGTGTTCTTTCATTACAGGCCACAAAATATTGGTTATCATAGGACCATTACGCTTCGAATTGGCAGCACAATCTCGCCGTTGTCGTTTTCAAATTAGTAAGATCCAATCCGACCAAAGCACTCCAGTTAATATGTTTTTGTTTTTTGGGTGTAATGACCACTCTTCCATTCTCGGAGCCCCAATTGCGATTATCCTCCGAGTGGGAAATACATATGTCCCGGCGCTGATGGAAATTTTGTTCGAAAAATCGCCGTCCACTGCTTATTGTTCGAGCACCCGATCGTCGTTTGTATGACGCTCTGAATGGTCAGCTAGCTTTAGTTGTTGTGTGACCTGGAATTGATGTAGATTCAGGTGTAAGTCCAAGCGCAAAGTAAACCATAATGTGGTTATAGAAAAAGCCAGCTCTTGATAACGTCGAGAAATATACACATTCGGGTCTTCGGCTTCACTTTCACTTACAGTAACGACATTTAAGGTGGAATGAGCAAAATGTTGAAACACAGGTCTTACAATATCTGTAGCCGATTCAGGATCTGTCAATTTTTTTACATTTTTTCCAGTTGCCTAACCTCCTTTTAATTCACGAAACGTGGTCATATTAGAAGTTGTTCTAAGTTGTTGTCTAGCCCAATCTAATAGAAATTTTACAGCATTTATGTGGAACTCTGGATTTATCTCGATTCCTAACTGGGGCTTTGTAACCTCTGCAGCTATTTTCGAGCGACCTCCTCCTCCAAATTGCCCCTTACCTTTTTGGAACAAATGAAGGCATCTACAGCTTGTCTTAAGTACTCAACGGCGGTACCACTCTTATAGAAGATTGTCCTTCAATATTCACGTGATAAGGAATCACACTGACAGAATCCTCGTTTGATATCGAACGGCTCGGAGATGTTCTTCCCGATACTGATGGAGCTTTTAGTGTTGCTTAATATCAGTTTATATAGCGGTATAAGCTTTTCGAGGATACTATAATAAGTTCAGACATAGCTACATAAAGGCAGCTCCTATTCGTGCTGTCAAAGGTGAGGGGGTAGTGGGTGGCGATCCTCTTTTCCCGGGTCTCTTCCAAGATTTGGCGCATGGTGAATATCTTTACCGAATCTAAAGCCACACTGACAAGGTCCAATCAGTTTGTTGATGGTGTGCTTTAGTCTTTCACACAATACGTTCGACATGTTTTCGTTCGAACATATTCTGCGAGTTAGCTGATGCATGCACCTTGTCTGCTCTTAAGCGCCATGTTTGTTCCGATAGGTTGTCAACTCCAGCCGCTTTGTTGTTTTTTCAGCGAGCGATTGCTTTTCGAAGTTCTTCATAGTCAGGTAATGGAACGTCTTTTCCATTGTCTTCAAATGGAGCTTGGAATTCACCATCTCCATTTTCACTGCTTTCAGCTGGTTGGCGGTTCAGTGTTCCCTTCATAAATTCAATATGCTTAGGGCATCGTTGGCTAGATCACTTTTTTGTGTCCTACAAAAGTCTGCTCCGGTCTTGAAACCTTATATAAGTCGTCGTAGCTTTTCAAAGAATTTTCGAGCATTACCCTTGTCGACCAGCTTCTCAAGCTCTTCATACTTACGCACGGCCTCTTTCTTTTTTTGTCTGCAGATGCGTCTTGCTTTCCTCTTCAGCTCTCGGTATCTATCCCATCCCGCACGAGTTGTGGTCGATCGCAAGGTTGCCAGGTAGGCAGTCTGTTTTCTCTCCACTGCGACACGGTAGCTCTCATTTTTACCAGCTGTTTTTGATACCTTTCTAAAATCCAATAGTTTCATTTGCTGCTGTACGTAGAAAGCTTGAAATGCCGTCCTACGGTACCCGTATACCGACTTGCTGTTGAGTGTTCTCAGCGAACAGCAGGGCAATTCGAGTAGAAAACCGTTGGACAGTCTGTTGTGATTGCAGCTTTTCTACGTCCTTGTTTTTGTTGACGGGCGCTCTTTAATACGAGGAACGTGCGTATTTTCGCTGCAACAAATCGTTGTTGGGTGCTCAGAGTGTACGCACGACGAGAACACTGGATGCATGTCTTCCGTCTATCATAACATGATCGATCTGGTTTTGTGTTTTTGCGATCCGTGGACAGCCGAGTAGCTTAATGTATGCTTTTGTGCTGGCAGCCAACCATATTTCGGGCCCCGGCGAAGTCGATCAGCCTATCAGGGTACACCTAGTTTTATATAATTTTTGGTTGTTGGTCGGATCAGGACTCAAACTATGGATTTACGAACGGCAGTACGCAATGCAAATATAACGGTAATTAAAGAAACGTATGTATATATATATATAAGGTCATAAATGAATGTCTGGGTGTCACAAAAAAAAAAAATAATGATAATAATACATTTTTAATGAGGCAACACGACATAAATAAAAAATCAGCAAAAATTTCGTGTGAAAATAACAGTGTTTGCCAGTGTAATTATTATTTTTATGTTTTTCTCTGCTTCAGTGCTTCACATTTTGAAAAAGCAATTAATATTATAGACAGGCAATTAAAAAAAAAAAAAACAAAAAAAAATAAGTAGTTAATAAATAAATAAATAAAAAAACAAAAAGTATACATTAGTTTGTTTTGATTACGGTTTTTTTCTCTTTCTTTTGATGCGGTATTTCGCTGTTGCAACTTGATGTGTAATTTATGCAAATATTTGTAGCTACATATGTACATATGTATGTATGTACTTTGGTTTGGCCCTTTGCCCAACGACATTATTGTTATTTGCTACTAATAAGGCACTAACCTTAATTCGCTGGAAATACAAGTATGTATTGTACATACATATGTATACGATATATGCAAATATTTATATGCGTTTGTGTATGGTATGTATGTATGTATGAGATTAAAATTTTAATATTATTAACTTGCTTTTTAATAGACTAGAGTGTTGCTGCGTGAATTTTTTTTCAACGGATTTTCTTTTGATTCCCAATAGTCCCATGCGTACATACCTACAGACATATAATATGTAAATGAAGGAATTCCTCCGAGTTATTAAAATTTTTTTTTTTTTTTTTTTTTTTTTAGAGATATTTTGAAACATTTACGTCTGTTTACCGGTAGTCTGTATTAAAAATAAAAATACTTCGAAGAGGTTGAGGCGTACAGAAAACATACGAGGGGATTAACAAAAGTTCGATTAGTTGGTGACTTTCAATTTGTTTTTGTTAAATCGAAAAATACCAAATCCTTTGCTCCTACTTTATAAGTCTTGCTTTTAAAATTTCGAACCATCGCCTAAAATGGAGACGAAAAAACGCTAGATAACTGAGGTTATTCAATCCACCACCAGCCACCAACGCAAACAGAAATTCACCACGTGATTCTCTTCGGGTTTAGGCGTAATTTATAGCTAATGAAAATATTCAGTGATTGCCAAATTGCATATGAAACGATTCCAGACCGGACATTTTTCCGTAGAGGACGATTCCCAAGAAGGTCGATCAAACTTTTCCACTGATGACGTCACTGTAGTTCTGGTGAAGCTCAAAATTGAGGAAGACCCAAGAAATGACTGCTAATGCATTGGGCTTGAATGCTATGGCTGTATTGAGAATATTAAGTAATCATCTGGGATGCACGAATAAATCTGCTCTTGATAAGCTTAAGATTTTGAAGACTGTTTCCAGAAGTGGAGTTATAGGCTTAGGAAATGTATTGAAATCAATGGTCATTATGCAGGAAAGATAAAAAAGGACAGAGATTGCAAATAAATACAAAAAAAAATTTTTTACAAGACCGAACTTTTGTTAATCCCCTCATATGTGCATTCATATATACGTAGGTATGGTATGGGTATGTCGTTGAGTACCACAAGTAATAAAATCTGCTACTGAATTTGATTGTGTTGTAACTACTTCGGTTGTTGTTGTAGCGTCAGAGTTAATCTATGTCGTCGAGGTCATCGAACGGCGTGTCCGAAAAGTGAGCTTATACGATTAGTTTATGTAGATCAGGGAGAGATGATTGTTTAGATGAGTAGGTTTTCTTGGGCATCCAAAGAGGTGAATTCCATGCAGGCATGACAGGTATTTGGGGACACGTCTCATTAGGCAGGCGTTAAGTCTACACTTGTACCAGTAATACCAGGTTCTCACGTGGTTTGGTACTAGATTATGAAATTTTCATGGCTATTTCGATTGATAGACAAAATTTTAAAATTATAGAAGCAACACAAAAAAAAATAGTTAAGCAGAACCGCCCTTCCTGAATTGTTTTTTTATTGGCTTCGAATCATTACTCGGCCTTATTGCAACCAGTAAAAGTTTGTGCAGAGCCAATCCCCCCGTCAAATAATGTTTATATTGAATATTTCAAAGTATTTTTCAATAAAACAGTCCGTATATGGTATTAAAATTAAAATATTTTATTTATTTTGAAAAACTGTTACTTGTAATATACATTTGTAATTATGTTTCTTACATAATTTTTACTTTTCTTGAAAACTGACGATATTTGAATTGCGGCAATAATAATTCGAACATATTACAATAAAATTTCATTACTTAAAAAAAAAATTTCTTTATAATTAAGCACACACACATAACTTAAAATCTCATAACGGCGAAATTTAATACGGTCTGGGTCGATTGCCCCCATCATTTCTAACAGGCCCACCACCGCCATCACGACGACCGCCACCCATTCCACGGCCACCGCCGCCGCCGCCGCCGCCTCCTCGGCCACCACCACCACCGCCACCGAAACGGTTGAAGCCGCCGCCGCCACCGCCATTTCCACGGTCTCTATTACCGTAACCACCACCACCACCGCGATCATTATTGCCATAACCACCGCCGCCACCACCTCCTCCACTGCCGCGATCACTTCCGTAACCACCACCACCGCCACCGCCATAGCCGCCACCACCACTGCCGTAACCGCCGCCTCCGCCGCTACCACCACCCTCGTGATCACCATCACTTTTGGGTTCTTTACATCTACAAAATAAAACAAAAAAATGTAAATAAATGGAAAGCTTTTTTTTCTAAATTTTAAAGACATCAGAAAACTTACCTATTGCATTCATTACGCCATGCGAAGTTCGTATTATTACAACTACTGCACTTCCAGTCACCTTCACGTGATGGCACATTGGCGCCACCACCGCCACCACCACCACCTCCTCCCATTCTGCCACGACCTCCGCGATCGCCACCACCACCACGACCAGAGTCATAATCTCCACCTGGTCCGCCTCCACCACCTCCGCGGTCGAATCTACCACCACCACCGCCGCCGCCGCCTCCACGTCCACCACCACCACCGGGACCTCCACGACCACCAAAACCACCACCACCGGATCCGCCGCCGCCACCGCCACCACCAGCACCGCCACGACCTTTCCAGTTATTCTGACGTTGCGCCAAGGAAACTTTAATTACGCAGCCGTTAAAATCGCGACCGTCAAACCAAGCGATGGCTGATTGTGCGGCATTTGTATCATCATAGGTTACAGTGGCTTCACCTTTGGAGACGCCTGTATCTTTGTGCTTGTACAGCCAAATTTTTGGCTTCATTGTACGCTTATCTTTCTGCAATGAAGTAAATCAAGAAATTTAAATTCATACATTCGTTTTACATCGTAAAATTTTTCAAACTTACCTTAATAATGCCGATTGCTCCAAAATGAGTTTCGATAGCCATTTCATCGGTTGCAGGATCCATGCCTGAGACAAAGATAGTGTCTTCTTGGGTAACCATTTCGCCACCAACACCACCACCGCCGCCGCCACCTCCATATCCGCCTAAAATTACATAACTCATTTTAGCAAAACATCACCTTCAAAACTGTAAATGCAACTATAAAAATGTGGGATCGGAATATATATATTTATATATATATATATATGTAGGTGTTGCAAACTACTATAAACGCTAAGGGTACGATATAATAGAAATTATGCGAGTGTATGACCATCTAGGAGAACACTGTTGAAACATGAACGAGCAGTTGTGTAACTCAGCTTTTAATTCAGATACATCTCAGATGAACCAAAAAATATTGGAGTTTTTCAAAAAAATATGTTTGGCGTTTTTCTGAATTTTTTGAAGACTTTAAACACTAAAATACCCAAAACCTTATGACATTGGAGATTCTATTACTATGACTTTTCACAATTTTTCATATTTCCTTAAACTTCGAGAGAGTTCCATTTACATTTGCTTTGAGAATAGTCACCTCTGTGCCCATACTTCAATCATTAGGTTCGAACCATTTTCAAGTATCTTAAATATTATAGCATTAAAAAATAATGATCGTTTCTCCAATACACTTTCGATAATTGTGACACAAAAAAAAAAAAAAAACTTTGAACACTTATTTATTAATTTGGTCAATTGTTAAGTCATATGAGACATTACTCTTAAATCTACCTCTTACTCAGTACACTCATATTTTGTTGAGGACGAACGATCGAACAATTAACAATAATAAAATCGCCATTATTACGCCATATCTGCACATTCGACAGTTAAATTAAGCATGTTTTAATATATATACCCTGTTATTGATTTTCTATTGCAATACACTATATATGAAAACACTAGTCATACAATATTTTTACGAAAAACGCAGAGTTAAGAATTGTAAGTAGTAAATGAATTGATTTATACTTTACTCAATTTAAGCAAATTTGGCTTGCTTTATTTTACCTTTATTGTAGCCGTCCTTGCTGCCGCCTCCATTTCTAAAATAGGATATCAAGACTCATTTAAATGTGCATTCGTGATTTGCAGGAAATATCGAAGAATTTTAAGTATTATTTATATCGCATACACAAGCAAGTACCATTCTCAAGCTGCCTGTCAGATAATGACATCAGTACTGACTTTGTTTAAAAAATATATAGATCATTAAATTCTCAAATGTGCAGGTAACAGTTGACGATCCCTGGATATTGCGTTGATGTTAACATAACACAGTTTCGAACTTCTGATAATTTAATATAACAGACTAATCAACCACACACCAGAATTGAAGGTACTTTATACCACGTGTTACTATTCTTATTTCGGCAACAAAATTAACCTTTTTACAACGTTTCATTATGCAGATAAGCTGAGATTATCAGCCGTAGATGTTTTTAGTTGAAATTTACACAATATCGTTGACACTTTAACACCTTTACGCCTTAAAATTACTTTCAAAAAAGTTTCATAAACAATTGTATTGACACAAAGAAGCATGTACAAATGATAACATAAGTGAATTAATTGCTTCTCCACCTTATAAACCCAAAGTAAGAGTAGTTATTAACAGTAAATAAAATACCTAAGATAACCATATTTATGAAATCATTTCAGAAATTTGTTTTAAATTAAGCTCAACCAAAAATAAAACGCTTTAAACTTTCTGAATGCAAAGTATACTGGGTAATTTTTAAAACCTAACTTTTTCTTCAAAAGGAACAGTCCATATACATTTATAACACATTTTCTCATCTCTGGTCAAATATACCATTGTATCTCTTAAGAATTTATAAGGCATTTCGAAATAACATAGTAGAGAAGCAAGTATTCCCCATTTTTTATGTATACAAAATTTTGTTTTAAGATACATACATGATCGTACAGCACAGATACCCCTAAACACGTTGGTAAATGACAAATTTGTCAACATAAATGAAATAACGTTGTAAACATTTTGTGTAAATAGCTGGGAAATAAGCTTCTTAATGGGCCTTAGCTTGTGAAGCCGTTTCGTTTAAAACACAATTTATATAGGACAGTAGATACATACCCATATCCGCCGCCACCACTTCCTCCGCGGTCATTCCAACCACCACCGCCGCCACCTCCGCGGCTGCCAGAATCATAACCTAAAAAATAACTAATGCTCAAAATTCCATTCACATATTACAAAAAAAATAGAAAATCTACCTCCTTTGTTGTAGGAAGACGATTGATCGTTATATCCGCCGCTTTTTGGTTGCATTTGTTGCTGGAAGTTTGGCGGTGGAACCGAGAAGTTATTGTAACCTCCACCACCACCACCAGCGCTACCATAACCGCCTCCTGTGTTATAATCAATATAAATATTGAGAATATGTTCAAAATTAAATTCCAAACATTACTTACTATCCATTCTTAGCTTTTATTAATAAATTAACACTGTTTAACGCCAAATGAAGCCTGAATTTTATTATTTCAAACCGAACCACGCCACCAGTAAAAAATTTTCTTCATTGATTGAAAAATGGCGTTTTGTCACACAGAGTTGTATTGTAGCTAAGATGGCAGCTAACTACATAGATGCCACATGTTAGGTTTATGTTAAAATTTATTTTTTTAACTACTTTTTACAATCTTGGACCTTGAGATTTTTAACATCAACACATAATTGTAACGATTTTCATCAATACGTCTGAATGATTTTCCAAATTCATTGAATTAGATCACTGGAGGTTTGTTTTCTTTCTTCATTTTTAATTATAAATAAATAAAACAATGGATATGTGTTGCTCAATAACTAATAACTCGCTTTACTATACACGATGACTTATTTTACAACTCTGATACTCTAATATTTTCAAACAGTTTATTAACAATACAAAACACAGTTTATTCCGCTGTGCTTGAAATCTATATTGTCGAAACCAAGTTCACTTTGTATGTAACTAACATCGCAGTAGTCGCTCTCTCATATGTGATCCTTGCTATCTAGAATATGATTTAGTTACCGGCATCTCCTTCTGATCTGTTAGTCGAATTGGGAATTTCCGCCTCAATATTAAGATATTTAATTTTTCTTATTTTGCATTAATTTATATGAGTATATTTATAAATTTTATATAAAATTTTTTATTATCTAAATTTGTTGTGCTTCAGAAGATTTTCCTCAAATCCACACATCTCGGCAACTATTTTTGAATACCTTTGCTGTGTTTGAAAGCGCCAAAATTTGTAATAAACGTCAAAAGTACCGAATGTCATAAAGCGTAGCAAATTTGCAATCAGCTGTTCGCACAACCAAAAAGAAAAATCGGTTTACGTGGAAGACATAAAATAATAGCCAAAATTAAACGCCTAAACTGACAATTATTTTAATTTTTCATTACTTTGTAAGATTTTGGAAAATATTAAATCAAACGAGTTATGATTGAAGTAACAGATTTACAAAGTAAGTTAGTGTAGGCCTCGTATTGAAGCCAACGACAATTGTTTTGCTCTTGTTGTTTCATGTTTTGTGTTATACTTCTGCGATTTATTAATATTACTTACTTATTTGCATTTTTTTTTATAGAAATTGGCATTGGCCTGGCCGGTTTTGGCGTTTCATTCCTATTTTTGGGCGTGCTATTTCTTTTCGACAAAGGATTGCTGGCAATCGGAAATGTAATTAATTATACCGGATTTAATTCATTTGTTTTAATAATTCATTTTTAGTTACTCTTCTTAAGTGGCCTAGCTTGTGTTATCGGAGTTCAACGTACGTTCCGATTTTTCTTTCAAAGGCACAAGGTAAAGGGAACAACTGCGTTTTTTGGCGGTATTTTTGTTGTACTACTGGGATTTCCAATGATTGGTATGGTTATTGAGTTGTACGGATTCTTTGTGCTATTCAGGTATATTATGGTTTAATTCAAATTATTCATTTAAATAATTTATTTCTGTCTCTTGAACATTTCAGTGGATTCTTCCCAGTTGCTGTAAATTTCTTAGGCCGAGTACCTGTATTAGGTTCAATTTTGAATGCACCATTTATTCAAAAGGTAAGATAAGAGTTTTTACTTTGAACAATTAACGTTAAACTTAGCTTTAGCATAGATAGGTGTTAAAGATTGATAATAAGAATAAGTCGTGATAATTACCATGTAATTCCACATTGGGCGTCGAATTAATTTTCTTAATATAACTGCTTTTCAAAGTTCCGAAAATATTATAGAAACTTTGTGAATTTTTCGTTTCCTACTTTATTGTTTTTTTAATTTACACATCTCCAAATAAATCGCATTTTTCTAATTAAAGTTAAATTATAAATCACGCACTTAATGGTCTTTATTCCATTCTTCGCGTTCTTCACGCTCCTTAATAACCTCCTTCAAATAGGGTTCTAAGTATTTGACGTCCTCTTCGTATTTAGTCCACTGTTCCTTGGGCAGAACTGTTTTGGTCATGGACAAATGCAGAGCACGCATTATGCGATAATTCCGTTCATCGTACAATTTACGGGGCAGACGACGTACAGCCTCTTTAACGTCCTGGTTCTCATATAGACAATCATCGCGGTGTAGGCCTAGTAATAGAGTTAGATTGTTCACAAAATTGAAGGTTAGTTACTTAGTAAAAATATTTTCAATTTAATCATGGGGAAAAATACTCACCGTATTGATTGAAGCCAGACCAATTGTAGGCCCATTTGCCCAAATTTGCTAAAAAAAAATAATTACATAGTATTATTTTTTGTGTAAATATTATGGCATAATTTACGTAATCAAATGACGGTCAGTAAATACATTTCTTATTATTTCATTATATATTTTTATATTTAAAGTCGCAATTAAATATGCTCTTATGAATATCGAACTTCAGAAGTACTCACAGAAGACCAAGGGACCTTTTCTGGCTACGTATCCCGACATTTCGCACGATTTTAGAGATTAGTACAAATCTTCCACAGACAAGTTGGTAGAAATCTAAAGTAAAATAGAATTTGTTAGTGCACTAGTACTGTTTCACTCACACAATCGTATAAGAAACGTGTGACAGCTGACAGAAAATATTTGACATTACTAAAGTAATAGATCATCAAACACAGAGTTGTAATTGTTGAGATTAATTATGCTATTAAATTATCATAAAACCGTAATCGTGTTTTATATTGAAAATATTTAACACAATTTATTTTTCTTTCAGCTTGTACAAAAACTCGGTGGGGACACAAATCGAACGACGGTATAGTAGACTCCTATCAAACTTTCAAATAAGGATATTTTTAATATAGTTTATTTCTCCTTGAGCTTAAATTTAAAGCGTGATTTTGTATAAAAAATACCCAGTAAGTTTAATATACTATGCTAAAGATCAAGTTGGCAATTTTTTCTTAGATAATATGAAGTTTTCTCGAAAACTTTTTTCAGTTTTCGAGTGATATGTTTTCCTGTTAACTAAAAATATGCTTCTACATATTTGCTATATGTAGCATGTATCGTTATGTATATATGTACATGTACGTAAAATTAGTTAAATTCTCTATTGAATATGCACTGTATATACAATATGTCAAACGTTTTTTTTACTAAGAACAAACCCAGAGGGATGTATGTGTAAATGGTTTGATTTGTTTTATTGCTTGGTTTTAACAAATTTCGATGTTACATGATTTTCTAACGCTTTAAAATGTTCCTTTAAGCATGCGGTTGAACGCATTTTTAATTGACATTTTCTCATCAGCTTCACATTCTTGCAGGATTCCACTTTCACATGAAAACACTCTACTTAACGGTGATTTTTGTATGTTCAGTTTAAAAACGGACATATTCATGCGCGTACTTTCTGGTTGCAACAAAGGTGATGGCGTGTGGGGTATATATGCGAGATATATACTCTCTATAAAATGGCAAATAAATGTATTAATTATAAAACGCTTATTAATTTGTTCTGGCTTAAGTACCCATATCGTAAAATTTTCCAATAGACCATTTCAAAAGAATTTCGAGAGGGAATTCTAAAATTTGTCGACGCAACACTTGAAGGAGTAAATTTACTAGATAGATGCAAAGTCGTAACTACAAATAAATATTAATAAATAGTAACTAGTGTACAATGAAGATGAAATGATATTACCGTTGTGAAAACCACATAATAAACCAACACAGTTGGGAAAAGGAAGAGTAGCGATGTGAAAAATATTGTTGCTAGATATAATTGACGATTTACGTAGTTGTACGATTCCACGCGATCTGGAAGAGGCAAATATTTTAGTTCTTATTACACTGAGCGTGAATATTATTACTCTTAAGGACATTGTAACGCTTGCCCAGCATTACTTTCCAAAGCACTTGTATTCCTCTGATTTCCACTTTGTACAATCTAATTCAATAATAAAAATTAGTGAGATTATTTATCGTTTGGAAATCAATCGACCTACACTGCTGTGTAAATGTAAAAGCAATGTGCATGCAAACCGATTATAGACATTAACGCTGGTAAGGAGGCCAATTGAAATGATAGACCTGTGAAACCAAGTAAAGCAATCGGTACGAATAGCTGACGCACAACTGGTTCAATAAGATCTGGAAAAAAAAATATTTTTAATATAAATTCTAGTTGAGTTAATAACATCAACTTACCTAAAAATTTAGCCCATAAATCAACATGATAATTGAAGCAATCAAGCAGAAAATTATTCAAATTTTCATTCAGTTTCAAACCGATGGGACTACCTTTGAGAGAACGCAGCAATAAGCGGAGTTTTTGTATGACCACCTAAAATGTATTACTTTATTGGTCAATTTACAAGTCTATAAACAATTAAAGGCTATTTTACTCACATGCGAAGCTGTGAGCAGATAATCATCGGGACGTGAAACATAAAAAAGTAATAACAGCATAACGCAAACTCCGAGTATTTTGTCAACAGTAATATTTAGATTACGTTTTCTGTAAGGCATACAAGGAATTAATTACTAGTATAAATTTTTTATATAGTATTTCGTATCTGAAAAAAATACCTGCTTTCCTGATATCTCCGCCATTCGAGCGAATGCTCGTAAAACGTTGTTTTTTCTAACAGCGGCTTTAACAATTTCGATTGCAGTAAAAAAACTATAGCATTGATAATTAAATTGGGAAATAAGAATATTGTTTTATCGAGAATACTGGTTATGGTATATTTCTGCTTTTTGTTTTGTTGATGGCTCTGATTTAAGAAGCTACATAAAACTTCAACGTCATTGTATTGATTTGTTTTTTCATCGCCACGGCCTCCACCAGAAGCATTGTCACTTTTCTTGCTATCATAACTGGTGTTATACTCATGCAACTGAAGCATTTTTGGCACATCATAAAGGAAGACATTCACTTGTGTGGTCTCCACCGGTTTTATATTTAATTTTAATAAATAAATATTAGGTGTATCCACATCGTAGGCAAAGGTAATGGCAACGTCCTGATTTTGTACTGTCGTTGTAGGGCCAGCCCGGTGTATGTGACCTAAATGACGCAAGTGTTTTGTAATAACTTTTGCTTCGTTTTCATTGTGATAATCGCAGTGATCAATTATAAAGTATGAGACTGCATTATTTTCATCGATTTGTATTTCTCCATATATATCACAGTCTTTTTTTGTATAGAAAAGAAAAGCAGGAAGGAAAATTTTCACGCTCATCACAATTGGATAGTTGTAAACAAATAAATTTGCTCAGCTGTTCAGCAAAACGATGCCATATAAAACTATTTTAAAAATTTTTTATATAAGGGTGTGCATAAATTTATTTAAGGAAAGAAAAATATTATGCACTAACCAAGGCCAATTTAACAAAGCGAACCTACCAAGGTGGCGAATTCAAGTTTTTCCATTGATTGACAATTTATTTTTAGTTTAAATTTATTTTGTGTTTGACTTGTCATTTGAAATCGTTAAAATTTTGAGAATCTCGGAAAAAGAGTGGAATATCGAGTCCTTTCAAAATAAGTTTTCCATGGTTTCCAAAAGCGCTACCCAAAAGAAAAACGAAATACGCTCTGACACAGTTTTTTAATTAAAATACAATTTATTTAAAAGTTGCTAAAGGGAAATGGATGCACTCTATACAAATAGAAAACTAGTACAAGCATTATTATGTTTAAAATTCACGCCGATGATATTTATCAGGATCAAAGTATGATGTAACAACAACGCGATCACTAAATTTACGTCCAGTCAAAGCTTGTTGCGCCTTCTGACAATCTATTACTGAGTTAAATTCTACAAATACTTTACCGCACCCTGGGACGTCAACCCCTTCGATGGGTCGTGGAATCTCAACACTGCGCACAATACCATACTTATTACATTCATCTTTAATATCCTCCAAAATATCTTCATATTCTTCATCATCACGTAGCTCATCAGGTGTAACCATATTTAGCAAACACAAAACCTCTGTTGGGGGACCCGAACCGGCAACAAGTCTTGCTAGACCAGGCACCTATAGAGATACATATGCATTTATTGTAAATGTCAAATTGAATATTAGGTGTTTATTATACTTGAATGGCTACAGGTGCTATGGCTGCTGCATTCGTTTGGGCATTTTTAGCGCCGACACTTGCACGTTGTACAATTAATTTTTTATCGCCGAGTTGCATGCCATTTAGACCGACTATAGCCTATAAAGATAACAGAAATTCATGAAAGATTTATATATGTAATATGTATTGATAAAGTAAAATTTACTTGGTCGGTTATGCTCAAATCTACGTATTCACAGAAAGCATATCCTTTGCTTAAGCCCGTTGCGGCATCCTTGACTAAATTAAAAGCTCGCAATTGCCCAAATGACAGCAACAATTCTTTAACCTGTGGAAATTCAAAAACTAGTTAGTTAGAAGCTTTTTATGTTTTATTAAAAACTGATGATAACGTTGGCGTGAAAGAGTGACTTTTTGAAATTTAAAGGAAACGAAAAATAATTTCGCAAACTAAAGCATACAAATTGAAAAATTCATACCATATATGTAGTATATAATAAAATTTTTAATATTATAATAACCACTTTATGATTGTTTTCAAATAAATTTGTGAGAAATGTACTATATGCCTATGATATTCTTTCCTATACAATTGTCAACATGCATAAGTATGCAATACCGCAGTAGTAAAACTTATTACATACAAATGTATAAATCAATTTAAACTTGCCTTTCATCAGTTAATGTTAAAATTTGTCTTTGAAAATATTCATTGCAAATGTTATTCCATGATTTTTTCTTTATAATAGAACTGCATATTTAATAACGAAGAAGTCTTGAGCAGCACTGCTCAAAATAATCTACAATTACACAATCGGAAGTAATTAGTATATATCAATTTTGAAGAAAACATGCCAAGTGAATAAATCTGAAAAGTAAATTTTAGCTGAAATATATTGAAAAATGCTGAAATAAAAAATATAGAAATGCTAGAGTAAAAAAGCGCACTACAATGAAGGTCGTCAATTTCATCATTAACCGCGATCAAGTTGAAATAGAAGGATGATAAATTTTTATGTGAAGTTTTTAAAGTTTTTTTTCCAGTTATTACTTCAATTCACATAAAAAAACATTTCTACAGTTTCTGAAATACGTACTAAATTTCTTGAGATTTTATTAATCAAGTGTTCAATATGCAGAAATCTCGCATCATCGTCGTAGAGTTTCATGCACAAGTTTCTTAGTGGTGAAGAGCTATATAAATATTCTATAGTTACAGTGTATTGATGTGCTTAATTTTTGACCAACCACAACATTTTATATTGATACTCACCTGATCATCACTTAAGTAATTAGGTAGACCACCAATGAATATTTTATGTGGTGAATCTGGTACTACAGACGATATTATACCAGGCGGCGCTATTATTTAAGATATAAAAAAGAAACTAAAAAAAATTTTAAATAAAGTACTTAGAAATCAGATTACCTTCCGGTTTAATACTGGGCGTATCAGCCATGCCAGGCATGGGTTGATAATCGTGCGGACGCCGTATTTTTAAACTTTGACCCTTAAAATTTATACCATCAAAAGCCATGGCTTGTGTTGTCTCGTCAATCGAACGGAATTCGAGAAAAGCAAAGTTTTTATCTAAATTGATTTGGCATGCCAAAACGGGATTGCCGTCTGCCTGTGCTAAGCCTATTAAATGCATTTTCTGATTGAAAAATTCCATCATTTCTTCCTCTGTTATGCCAAAAGGAATATTGCCCACATACAAACGACGCGCTTGTCGTGTGATAGTTGATCCCACTACCGGTACCGCGGCTTGGGGTGTATCAGGTATGATGGTTGCTGGTATTTGGCCAGTTGCCTGCATTGCTTTGTATTGCATTGGTGTCATATGCTCGTAGCCAGGTGGTGGCACATCCCAATATAGGGATGGTTTGCGTCTGTAAATACGATGTCGCGATCGTTCGCCATGACGGGAGCGTGAGTGACTACGCGACCGATGTCGATCGCGGCGTCCACGGTCACGGTCTGAAAAAAAGTCATCAATTTTACTATTGTGTGGAAGTCGTAAAGTAACATACCGTGATAGCCCATTTTATTTTGTTTATTGTGTTAAGATTGTCTAGTTGGCTTATTCTGATTGCTGAAGTTCTGTTTTCAAGACTCCTGTTTATGAAAGTGGTTTTGACGTAAATTAAGCTTATTAGATGCTACGCATCTATTTCGTTGTCCTTAGTTAATTATCAAAAATACAAACTGATTGTGTGCCTTCCAATAGCCTTTTATAAATTTGTTTTCAATAATTACTTTATTAAAATTTGCAACTTCTGCAACTTATTAATTTTGTTACCTTTTGTTGCCAAGTTCGTTTCACAACTAACAGTAAGGGTATTCACTATTATTCCACTTGCTCTAATTATTTAAAGAATTCTTAGCATTGCGTACAACCATTCGGAAGACTCTGGTTCAAGTCATGGTGTCGTCCTAACATCCAAAAAAGTTATAGAAATTTTAGTTAGTTAATTAAAAATTTATTTACATTTTCTAATTGCGGTCTGAATGTCAACCGCTTCAAGAGTATTTCTGGCATAAAAAACCTCGGCTTAAAATCGCTTCAACGAGCTTCATCACACGCTTTAAAAATATAAACGAACAATAAATTTTCTAAATATGTACAATTTGTAGTTCGTTCGCCTTAAATTTCAGTTCTTTAACATTATGGACTCAAAATGATTGGAAACGGTTCAAAGTAATAGAGAAACATTGTTAACTTCTATAATATTTGACAGTCGAAATTTCGAAAAGAACGATAGAGATTTCAGTGGTTTTTTCTTTCATGGCAAATGTAAATTTTAAATAAAAAAATTAATGTGGCAACTTCTATGCTGGGAAAGCGCCGTAATGGAATATATTTGTCTCTTTTCTTTGGTGTGACATTTTTGCGTTATTATACGTTCTCTGTAGCGTCTGTCAAAAAATCTTTCAACCGCTTTCCGCTTCATCGCAGAAAAATTTTACAGATTTTTTTTTAATTGTAGAATTTGTGGTTTTAAATCTCTTTAAACAAAACTTCAGTGTATTTCAAATACTATATATAATTGTTAAATAAATAAATTTCTAACGAAAATGGGTTCAGAAGGTGAGTAATTGCACACACATTTTTGTGTGAACAGCGCGTGTAACTAATCGAAATATATCCATGTATGTATGTACACGTATTTTTACAGACCGTGATAGGCGCCGGCATAGATCTCGTTCAAGGGATCGGGATCGTGAGCGCGATTATCGTCGTTCGCGTTCACGCGATCGTAAACGAGAACCTGGTCCAGTCGGACGTGACAGGCACACTCGTTCTCGTCGAAGAAAACCATCTTTATATTGGGATGTGCCGCCACCAGGTTTTGAGCACATCACACCGATGCAGTATAAAGCCATGCAAGCAGCTGGCCAAATACCGGCAAATGCTGTGCCCGAAATTCCACAAGCTGCCGTACCAGTAGTGGGTTCAACCATAACTAGACAAGCACGCCGCCTCTATGTGGGCAATATACCGTTCGGCGTAACAGAGGATGAAATGATGGAGTTCTTCAATCAACAAATGCATTTGACTGGTCTTGCACAAGCTGCTGGAAGTCCTGTTCTAGCATGTCAAATTAATTTGGATAAGAATTTCGCTTTCTTAGAGTTCCGTTCCACAGATGAAACAACACAGGCTATGGCATTCGATGGTATCAACTTCAAAGGTCAGAGTTTGAAAATAAGACGCCCGCATGATTATCAACCCATGCCAGGTGTGGCTGATGCGCCTCCAATTACAACGCCAGTTGGTAAGTTGCTATAAAATATAATGAAGAACAAATGTATTTTCATAATTTTTTCTTTTTCAAACTTGTTGAAGCGAACGGTGTTATTTCCACTGTCGTGCCGGATTCACCGCACAAAATTTTCATCGGTGGCTTACCAAACTATTTGAATGAAGAACAGGTAAGTTGGGCGATAGCTGAACTCTCTTATTATATTCACAATAATACAAATGTAAAGTTTTTTGCCACAGTGGATGAGGGCGTGCGGATACGGGCGTACTTGAATTGTTGAGAGAAAAAAAGAGAGAATTTTCAAATTTGTATTTAATTTTTCCCCCCACTGTAGCTTTTTAGGCAAGCGTATCCTGAATAAGGCAATGCTGTTGCAGTCAAGCAGCGCGTCATGCATTCGAAAATTAGTTTTCTTTTTTTTAAATTTATAAAACCTTTTCAGCTTGAAATTTCAACGCCGGCGAATTTAAGTTTCAGCTCCCACTTTTCACTTTTCAGCGCCAATTTTCACTTTTCAGCTCTCCTTACAGCTTAATTTTCAGCTCCGATCTCAACAATACACTTAACTTAACTTTTCAGCTAGAGAGGGTTTTGTTTTGAAATATTTTGACATATTTTATGTATATTTACCTACCTACATAGATTTGTTGTCAAAACTTGTACTAATTTTGTTTTTGATTGTTTGGTTATTGTAGCTTAGGATGGTTGCATCATACATATACCACAGCAACAAGAACTCGTATTTAGTCGTTCGTTCGTTCGTTTGTTCGCTTTTGTTGCAGTTGCATCGACCATGCCCACTGCACCCACCTGCAAATAAAAAAACCACACAGCTTTTGTTGCGTATACAAAGAATATGCGGTGTGAGAAACTTAAGTGAGTGCGTGTCGATGCAGTGAAATATTGCAATGCATGAGCAATGTCGGTGTAAAAGGCAAGTTTATAAAAATTGACAACAAAATCCATTTGAAAAATCTCTACAGGAACTTTTCAGATGTCAGTATCTACTAAGTAAAAAAAAAACAAAAAACAAAACAACAAATCATTGAATATCGACAATTTCGTTTAGCCAATCCCAATGTTATTTTATGTTTTAGGTGGTCGAAGGATATGCGTTCCCATTACAGTGTGCATTGAAAAATCGCTGTGGAAATGCTAAAAGATAACCTTTTTAGAGCATTGAATATGCATATGCAAAGTTTGAAATATCTTGAAAAGATTAAAAATTTATTTTGTTTTGCTAATCACAGCAACATCCTAAAAACATAACATATTAATGCTTTTATGCTTTTCCCAACATCATTAGGTCAAAGAGTTGTTGCTCTCATTTGGTCAATTGCGCGCTTTCAATCTGGTAAAGGATGCCGCCACTGGCTTGAGTAAGGGTTACGCTTTCTCGGAATATGTAGATCATAGTATAACTGATCAGGTAAAACATAATTCTTTGTATTTTTTTTAATATAAAAAAAAAAAAAAATCTTTCACTTAAAAACTTTAAATTCTAGGCTATCGCTGGTCTGAATGGCATGCAATTGGGCGATAAAAAGTTGATAGTACAACGCGCCAGTGTTGGTGCTAAGAACGCACAAAATAGTGCTACCACCGCTGCACCTGTCATGATACAAGTGCCTGGCCTCTCGATGGTCGGCACTTCTGGACCACCCACCGAAGTACTTTGCCTATTAAATATGGTGACGCCTGATGAGTTACGTGATGAAGAGGAATATGAAGATATTTTGGAGGATATTAAGGAAGAATGTAATAAGTATGGTGTTGTGCGTAGTGTGGAGATTCCGAGACCCATTGAGGGTGTTGATGTGCCCGGTTGTGGTAAAGTATTTGTCGAATTCAATTCAGTTATAGATTGTCAGAAGGCGCAACAAGCTTTGACTGGACGAAAATTCAGCGATCGCGTGGTTGTTACATCCTACTTCGATCCGGATAAATATCATCGGCGTGAATTTTAAAGTGACATTTATAAATGTAGCTCGACATCCACACCCATTTACACATTATATGCACATTGAAGTGGGTGTGTTTCTGAATTTTTATGTATTATGAAATAATAAAGCATACACAAACAATATAATATCTATACATTGTAGCCAACAGGCTCGGCAAAATAAATATACTTTGATTTTGGATACATCCATTTTAAATCATATACAAAAGCAACGGCTAAAATGTAAGTGGTTAAATTTCATAATGATAAATCATAGTTTGACGGCTTTATAAAGCCACAACAATTGAATATAAATGATGTATTTATGCATGTATTATGTAGGAATATTCAAAATGGCAAGAATTAATAAAGACGAGACATTTGGTAAATAAAATTGTGTAACTTCATTATTTACTAATGAAATACTAAGTAAAATTTATCGAAGAATAGATGTTGGCTCATGAGAGCTGGATAGTGCTCTGCCAATTACTTCTCCTCTAAGTCTCTGTAGCTGGGATGGAAGAAGTGGAAGAACTATTATTCTACGATGGGTTCCTAGCCAACAGTGTACAGTTGATATGCTCATGGAATTCCTCTTTATGAGACTCAGTTCTCTACTCTTCAAAATTAAAATATCTGTCTGGTCTACATGCACTGCAATGTGGTGTCATCCTGTCTCTGCAGCAGATACTTTGTGCAGAGCTTACCGTAGACTTTCAGGCTTCTAGCTAGCTTCGCAATATTCTGTAATATGTCTATATCTAGTTGAGTCAAACCATGGACTTTGTTTAGTTAAATACACTCCCGATGAGTTCTCAAAGATTAAGTTTTCCAAATCGCTTAACATTCCCGTCCGAGTTGACACAATGAGTTCTCAAAAGACAATGTTTTCGAAAGGTATATGAACCTCAATGAGCCAAATGAGTTGTATAACGACTACCAATTAACTCAGCTAAGTAACAGATCGCGATTACGGTAAAGAAGTCATGCTGTCTCAATATATGTAAGCATTTCAGCTTAGAAAGTAAATAATTAAGCTGCTACCGATGGTGGAAGCAGAGGAATGATCAGGTGGAGGAAGACTTGGTTTCACTTGATGTGACCAATTGAGAAAAAAAGAAATGTCTGGTCTTCTATTTGTTGACTCGAGTGAGTTGAACATTGAAAACGATTTATTATTATTAACTTTGTTACGACATAGCAAGTAACAGAAAGAGAAAAGGTGAACCCACCAAAATTTACACCGATCGGATCAGAATGACTCGCTATGTTGATTTAGGCATATCCGTCTGTCTGTCTGCTTGTACGCAAACTAGTCCCTCAGTTATCAGTGATATATTACAACCAAACTTGGTAAGCTGTATGCATTTTATACTATGTTAATTATTTGTCGAAACCGGTCAGATTGGACCACTATAACATATAGTCCCCCATACAACCGAACTGTTTGGACTTGAGGTTTTGGGTGCAAAATCTCTAAAAATCATCTAAAAGCGTATAATTTTGTATTCTACGAAATCGAAAGACTCTCTCATATAGCGCTCTCCAACCGATTTTTCAGATATGCAAAATAATATTTGAAATAAATATGATTTGGTCAGGAAAGGTTTAAAGACTACGCCGCGGCTGAAGAGAGCTCGTAATTTTTGTTTTTTAAACCGTTGAAAAAGTTGGAAGTATTGCCTCACAATGTACATCCATGTGTATGTACATGCATATGAATGTTTGTGTCCATGAGCCGCGCGAATTTTCTTTCCATTGTTTGGTTGGGTCGACGCCAGCGGATGTTGCGCATACGACCCGGCAGCCCTCACGCGCTATGCCATTGTGCAGGTGTATGTACAGATTTTTTGCTTAGTAATTTAATTTATTTGTATGCTCTACGCTTGCCGCTAACTTTTAATTGGTTAAAACAAAGGCATGAATGTGTTTTGTATAAAAAATAAAATGGAAAAATCTCAAAATACCAAAAAAATGTTTTTTTTTTTTAACCGCAAATGTGTAATGAGTTGATTAAAAGTAAAGATAAAGTATGAAAAAGTATGTTGGTTACGCACTAATCTGAATTTTTACCATATTAGCAAAAAAAAGGCAACAACAACAATAATAAGTTTTATACAACAAAGCAATTGTATTAGATTGCAGTAGAGTAACCAAAAATCTCACTTATATGGCACTAACACACACTAATACATGTATGCACGTATGTATGTGTATGTGTCTGTATGTATGCATGGTTTTGTGCGCTTTTAACAATAATTTATGTGTAAACATTTGAATGGAGTTGTGCGCAGGCATGCTCATTTGCAATATTTGCATTTATTATGCACATCACCGCATCTACATACAGACAGACAGACATATATACATACATATAAACATTTGTACCTGCACACGTACTTAATGCCACCAAAGTCCAACTGTTTGTGAATTTGTTGCTATTTTTTGTTTTTTTTTTAATATTTATTATGCATTGTGTTTGTTGTTGCCAGTTCATGTGTGGCATTTTGCACGTCTAAGCGTGTGTATGCTTGTACGAGTGTGTGGTTTGGTGATGCAACATTTTCACAACATTGTCACCACACAATTGCTCTAAGCCTTTGCATTCATTCACACATCCACACACCCACACACCCACACAACCATTGCCCCGGCTCGCCATGTCATCACATTTATGCAGTAATTTTCATTGAGCAAACGCAGTTTTTTTTTTGCGAGTTTAGTGCTCGCATTTGTGTGTGTGTGTGTGCATGTGTATGTGTCCGTTGATTTGTGCGTCAAATTTGAATTTTCAAATTTACATTTTGTTACTCATTTTATGCTTATCTTGATTGCGTTGCGCATCGATTATTCGCATTTATCAGCGTCATTTGTTATTGTTGTTGCACACATACATACATATGTCCATATGTAAATTTATGAAATTGAGTTCGAGAGTTTAGATGATGAAGCACTTTGGAGTTATTGGTATTGAAAAGTAATCGGAAATTACTCAAATTATCCAAAAGAGTCTCGCCAACTTTTAACGAGGATTCGGTTTAAATGCAGTAATGGGTGGAGCAACACGAACAGTTAAGTTTAAGATAGTTGAGTTTAAGTTAGATTGAATTAGTTGCTGGACATCAGCTCACTTAGATCACCAAACTGTGGAACTTAATAGCCATCACCAGCTACTCAAAACGGACCGGACCAAGGCAAACTCTTGTGGATCACAAAGAGGTGATCTAGCAACCGATGCCCAGAGTATATTGAATTTATGAAGAGAAGAGCTCAGCCCAGCCTGCTAAATGGTCGTGGAAATGGCACACCCGGAGATGGTGAGCCCGAAACCCCAATCGATGACGTTCGAAAAACATTCCATTACCTAATTATGACGAAGTTTGAATAGCGATTGTCCGACTAAAGAACAACAAAGCTGACGTTCTACCCTCAAAGCTATATGGTCGGACGAAGTATGCCTGACTATTGGAAGTTAAGTGTGCTCTGTCCAATACGTAAAAAAGGGAAACCTCAAAGTGTGCGTCAATTACCCTGGGATTCGCCTCCTTAATATCGCCTGTAAGATCTTATCGAGCGCATTGCATGAAACACCAAAGCGCTCAACCGTCAACAAACCGATTGGACATTATCAGTGTGGCTTTAGACCTGGTAAATCAACCATGGACCAGATATTCACTACAAACAAAATCTTGGAAGAGAACCGTGTAAAGAGGATCGATATTAAAGCAGCCTTCGACAGACCGAATAGGAACTGCCTCTATGCCGCTGTATCTGAATTTGGTATCCCCGCAAACCTTATACGGCTATGTAAACTGCCGTCAAGCGACACTAAAAGCTCCTTCAGGATCGGGAAGAACCTCTCCGAGAAGATACAATCTTCTATAAGAGTGTACAACTGCTGGCAGACGTCGTGAGTTCTGGTAGTGAACGCGGGCAAGACGAAATATCTCCTGTCATCAAACAATTAGTCATCGCATTCACGAATCGGCTTCCACGTCACTGTTGACAGCAACGTCAGTTTGAAGTCGTAGATAATTTCCTTTGTCTTGGCACAAGTATTAACATCAACAGCAATGCCAGTATAGAAATCCAGCGCAGAATCAATCTTGCCAACAGGTGCTACTTCGGACTCAGACGGAAATTGAAAAGTAAAGTCCTCTCTCGACGAACGAAGATCAAACTATACAAGTCACTCATTGCACCTGTCCTACTATATGGTGCAGAGGCATGCACGATGACAGCATCTGATTAGTGGGCGTTAGGAGTATACGAGAGAAATGTTTTGCGTACGATTTATGGCGCTCTATAAGTTGGGAACGGCGCATACCAACGTCGATGGAATGACATTGACATAGTGCAGCGAATGAAGAGACTGCGGCTACGTTGGCTAGGTCATCTCGTCCGAATGGATGAAAGCACTCCAGATTTGAAAATTTTCATAGTAGCATCAGCCGGTGGAAGCAGAGGACCGAAGGCTTGCAAAGCTGGTGTAATCTCATCCATCCGGTCCACATGTCTCTTGATATGCTGAACTATGCCAATGTCGCCGTACATCTCGTACAGCTCATCATTCTACCGGCTGGCAATACTTCTCGTTGACCATAAATCTTAGACGAGAACTTTCTCTCGAAAACCTCAAATGGGGAACGATGAGCAAATTTCAAAGTTCGGATTTCGTTCGTCGATAGAGGACTTTGCTTTTCAATTTCTTACTCAGTCTAAAGTAGTACCTGTTGGAAAGAGTGATTCTGCGTTGAATTTTCAGGCCTAAGTTGTTGTTGGTGTTGATGCTGATCTCTCGATAGACGAAATTATCTACGACCTCGAAGTTATGACTGCCAACAATGACATGAGAGCCGAGTCGCAAAAGCGATGACTGTTTGTTTGATGATGGAAGATATTAAGTCTTGAGCTCGTTCATTACCAAGACCTATACGCTGTGCTGTGACTGGGCAAGGAATAGGATTGTTGGCGCTATGATATCATAGAGGGCTAAAGCAAATAGGCCGTCTTTTAACTTTCTTGAAAATGAAAAAAACTGAGACTCACTTGAGAAGTTCAGCTGCGCTGCTTGAGATCATTCCAATCGCCGTTTAAATTAAAAAAAAAACACAGAAACTGACTAAGCAGCGATTCCCACAGCTTGTCAATGTCAAAGTAGATATGTATGTATGTATGTGTATGTGTAAAACATTTTTATGAATAACCATGTCGGACCAATTCCGTTGATTGCATGGCAAGATGTGACCAATTCTAAACCAGTATTTCGGCAAAGAATTGCAAAATCATAAGACCAACTCTTTCTGGTTGGTGCCAAATAAATAAAAGCGAATATATATAAATATATAAAATATACTACAGATATGTATGTTTGTATGTAAATAATAAACAAAA